GATCTAAGTGTCACCTACTTTTGGGCAAATTCTGCTGGCTTCTTTAAAGCAAAAATTCAGCCTGCTGTGGTTGCTATACTGGGCTCTGCTTCTTTGAGTGTCTTTCCATTTTCCAAGAAAAATAAACCACAGGCTCTGTATTTTTAGATATGCCATCTGATCACAGCTAGTCATATATCAGCCCCAATATTGTGAGTCAAGATGCTGAGCTCCACTGCTGCACTCCCTTGGGCAAGAACTAGTGACTTGAGCCATACTGGGTGTATTAATACACCAGTGTGTTTAAAATACTCATGTGCTTTCTTAGGTAAGCTGCTCATGAGGAATAATACTGCTGGGGTTTATTAATGCCAGTGTCTTAGGAGCTTAGATTCTCTGGGTGAACTTAATACTGTTGTGAGTGGGAGATGAACAGCCCTGGTATGAGACAGACCTAATCTAGGCAGGGGCCAGAGGCAGCACAGCTCCCCTTCCTTTCCCTCTCCCACCAGTGACTGATTCCTGACGTCTGCCCCTTGCTATTTCAGTCCTGGGTATCCTCTGAGGCAGCTGCTGCTCAGAGTGAGCTTTATGGTGGCCCCTTCAGAAAGTGTTTACTCAACCTGCCTTGCACAACAGTGCACAAATATGGAGTTATAGGTGTATTTTAAACCTCTATCCCTCACTGGCTTGTTCCAACCTTCACAATTCTATGTCTCTGACACCACTGTAGCCCGAAGAAAATTTTCTGTGCGTTTGATCAAAGCAGGAGGAAGCCTTGAGGCTGGTGTGTGAAAAACGAGCTGCCTTGTTCCTGAAAGTTTATTTGTTGTGCTACTTCATCACTCTAATGACAATCAATTTATCTGCATAATTAGTCGCTGGAGACAGCATAACACGGCTTGGCAGCCTGGATTTTTCTCAGAGATGTATTGCTTGGCGTATTCAACCCAGACAAAAGGAGACAGCCTGGCTGCTGGAGAACTGCAGCTCTGTGAGAGCCAAGCAGGTGAAACCTGGCATGACAACCCAGCTTGCTTTCTCCATCCTGCCAGAAAAAGACTTTTGAGATGAGGATGAAATGGCACCTGGATAAGTGTCCTACCTAACGTCCCTTCCAACGCAAATTACTCTATGATGCTGTAGTGATAATGACAGCACAAGGGGAAATGGTTTTAAACTAAAATAGGAGAGATTTAGATTAGATATGAAGAAGACATTTTTGACTGTGAAGGTGGGGAGAGACTTGATCTGGTTGCCTAGAGAAACTGTGGGTGCTCCATCCCTGGAAGTGTTCAAGGACAGGCTGGATGGGGTTTTAAGCTAGTGGTCTAGTGGAAGGTGACCTTGTCCATGGAAGAGGGGTTGGATTAGATGATCTTGAAGGTTCCTTCCAACCCAAACCATTCTATGATTCTAATAATCCTGCTAGTGCATTTGCCTCCCCATTGACGGGACGGGGAACGACCAGTCAGATTGTTGATGGTTGTAGGGGAAGGTGTGTGTTCACTTTGCACTCCTGGAGAGTGTACAGACAAGCAGATGCTTATACACCTCACTGAGAAGAGGCTGATTGCACAATAGTGGTTCTGTGGGCTGGAGGTCTGTGCCCACCACTCTGCCACATAACCCACCCAACAGAAATCTCCTGTCCTCTGCACTCAAATGCTAGGAACTCTCTTCGTGCCTTACAAGAAGCTGATCACCCTGCTGAGCCTGCCTTGGTGTCCTTACCTGCTCAGGTATCCACTTTGCTGTGTCCTTCTGGGTACATCACTCTGAGAGGACCCTGCTCGGTTACGAAGGTCTGCCATGGTAAGAGCTCAGTGACATTTCACCTGTAGTGAATTAGCTACTCTAACATAGGTCCAACTTCATCCATGAAACCAAAGCCTACTTGTGATACCTTCACTGTGGGGCAGCTTCCCAAAAATAGCCAAATCCATCTCTCCAGATGCCCCATAGAGAGGGTGGCAAACTCAGTGCATGCAAGGATGGGAAGCTGTCTACTGGGCCACCACATTGGGAGTCATACCCCATGTTTGTTAGACTGAGGGGCTTTTGCCAGACCCCCACCTTTTTTGGCAGGTATTTGTAGAGAAGGTGACTGGAGCCATGAAGAGGAGGGGACATTTGACAGTAAATCTTTTTGCATCAACGTGGAAGAAGTCATCCATTCTGTTGTATGATAATGACTGCAGTGGTGCTTTTCAGGCTGTGATAGAGGAGATGTACATCTTTTATGGATTATGTGTAACAGGTAATAAAGAATTCAGTTCCTCTCTGTCTGTACACTAATGGTGTATCGATCCCAGTAAATATCACACTGAGATTGAAAAGTAGATCCCTGGTTAGTATCATCCTGACAGGTGACATCATTTCTTTGGATGTCTCAGCCAGCTCAGCCTAATCCCATCTGACCCCCACAGCTTTACTGAGTCTCTTTGCTCTGGGTCTGGGCTTCACTTTTCTATTCCCCTGATTCATCCTTCACCTCAGCACAACTTCTTCTGTCTCTGGACTTTGTCATGCTTGACTGGACTCTGCTGTGCTTCTCTAGGGTTTACTGGATGGGAAGTGTTTCCCTGCTGCACCATCAATAGGATTTGCTCAGCTATTCGTGATCAGTCATTTTGAGCAGGAGTAAAACATACAGCTAAAGCTACAAATTAAAATGCAAGCATGAAAACTGAATGAGAGGTAAAAGAGAGAGCAAGAGAGGATGGCAGGGTCCTCACAATGTTTACAGATGAGCTTGCAGACATTCCTCAGAAGGGGTTGTAGATTTTACCTTAGATGTCATGGGATGTTCACTAACTTGAACATTAATATGCTGTCTCACCTCCACCTAAATGTGGCAGCTGGGAATTTATAGAAACCTGTTGTAACACCCCAAGGTAGAAAGGAAAATCATAAAATCACAGAATGGGTTCGGTTGGAAAGGACCTTGAAGATCATCTAGTTCAAAACCCTTGCCACAGGCAGGAACCCTTTCCACCAAACCAGCTTGCTCAAAGCCCCATCCAACCTGGCCTTGAAGTCCAAACAATGTGCACTCTGTTTGCTAGTGTTACTCCCATGGGGAATTTTTAGCTCTCACTTTAAAAAATACCCAGAAATTTTGATGTGTCTGTTTTCAGGACTCACATCTCCTTAATAGGTGAGGCCTCCCTGAACATGCTGAACACCTGCCTGTCAAACAACCCTCTTTGCATGTCTCCAGCCTGTTAAAATATGGACAGCTAAAATACCACAGCCCTTCTGACAAGTTGGAGTGCAGGACTTGGTCTTCCCCCTTGAAAGGGGATGTAGGACCAGAACAGTATGCATCCCTGTGGGAACCACATCATCCCCAGGGCTTGATGCACATAAGGGGGAGCAGAGTTGTGGCAGAATTGTACGTGTGCCTGGTGGGATTTATTGCTCTGCTCAGCAGCCTCCTCTGTTCTCCTTGCTCTGCCTCTGGGAGAACGTGCTGTGAGAGATGTTTCATGTACAATTCCTTCCTTGGCCTTTGCCTCCTGTTTCAAAACAAGGGAAGGAGGACTTGTTAGGTGTTTTTGGCACCTTTATGCTCTGCTGGGAGGGAAGAATGGCTCTTTGTGTGTGTTTTATCTCAACGTACTGGGAAGATGGGGAAGGAAGTTTGAGCAGAGTGAAGCAAAACATGCTGAATTTGACATTAATAAAGTAGCTGCTCAGTTGCATTGCTAAATTGCCATGGGTCCTTGTAAAAGGGTGGGGACGAGATGGGAATTTTCTTGTCAGATATTGCTATGCACAAAGGAGATAGAAACATTTCTTAGTAAAGAGGTTTCCACCAAAGAAAGGCTTCTGCCCTCACTTGTGCTGGTAGATGCTACAACATGGAGATGGTGAGCATTTCTGCCTCCCTTTTTCCATGGCTGTCCAGCTTTCCCCTGCTCAGGGAGGGATTTACAGGGTGAGCTGAGATACAGCATTGCATCTAATCATGGGTGACAGAGGCATTTGCCCTGGTGGTTTTCAATTGGGACTGTCACGCGCAAGTAATAGGGATTAAACTTGTATGCCCACTCTGTCATTTCTGAATGGGGGAGTTTTAGCTTTGCTGAAGGAGCTGTCATTTCAGGAAAAGGACTGGATTTTTTGCTGAAGAAGAGCAATTGGCCCTGGCGTGTGAGAAATGTTAGAAGAAAAGGCGCCTCATGTTACCAAAACACAGCTGAAATAAGTCCGATGAGCTGCATTGCCAATTCATCACTCTGCCACTGAGTGTAGTCTGTGTAAACACCAGGACACGCTCTCCACATGATGTACTGTGGCCAGACATGTCTCAGTTGGCAGACACTTGCTGACAGAGCCAGTGAGGCCATTCATCCCTTTCACCCACCCCAGCTCTGGTCCAGCTGCTTTCCCCATTCACACAGTACCCAAAGTAAGGACATTTCCATGGGGAAAATTTTCTGCTTCCTAACCTTATACTGTAAAGTTCATTTCAAGCCTTCTGAGACCCTTTTTTCATGGCCTGAATCTAAAAACCTTGTGTCTAGTTCTGCATCTCTATACAGGGATGCTTATGGGATGTCTAGGTGTGTACGTAGCTGGACTTGACCGAGATTGTCAGTATATGTAGGTTTACCAGAAATACTCAAGTTTTCATGCAGAATCCCTCAGATGGCTATTTAGCATCCAAATGGATGAGTTCAGTATATAGTAAAAAACCCACATTCTCCTTGATGAAGTACTCTTTTCCTCTAGACTAGCCCTAGGCTCCCCAACCCTCCTCTACCTCATCGGCACCTGGCATGGGAAAGTCTCCTCTCCAATGCTGTTCCCACCCACATGGAGCCAAGCAGCATCCAAACCCACGTGCTCCCCTCCTAACCCAGCTTGCAAGGACTCCCATCCCCATCCCCATGCCTCCAAACTCACAGCCCAGCCGGGATCAGAGCACGCTGCCTTCCTGAGCTGCAGCTGGTGAACCTCCCTCCCTCTCCCCCCTCGCTCCCAGCCCAAAGCATACCCCAGTCAGTACTCACACAGCCTGAGTGAGAAAGCTCAGCTGCTGATCCCTGAGCCTGCTCCCAGATTCCTCGACCAAGCGGCCGTGGGCTCACTCCCCAGCGCTCAGCCCGGGGATGATACAGGAACCAGACCTCTTTGGTTTACTTTTACGTTGACGTCAGTGTCTTTTCTAGCCTCCACAGCTCGTTTTGGTCAAAGGATGTCTTCAGGGGAGAGGGGAGGGGTCGGAAAGGGAGAGGAGTGAGGATAAGCTGGAGATGAATATTTGTGATGTGAGCAGCCAGCGGTGGAGGGTTTTAGGGGCTAATGGTGAAAGAAGGAGTGCTTATGGAGACCAATTGACCCTGGGTGTAGATCATCACTCAGACATGGGTATATTGGAGACCTGACCCTCACATGGAAATCATAGAAATGTTTGGGCTGGAAAGGACCTCAAAGATTATCTAGTTCCAACTCCCCTGCCATGGGCAGGGACACCTTCCACTAGACCAAGTTTCCCCAAGCCCTATCCAGCCTGGCCTTGAACACTTCCAGGGATGGAGCAGCCACAGCTTCTCTGGGCAACCTGTGCCAGTGCCTCACCACCCTTACAGTAAAGAATTTCTTCCTAACATCTAACCTAAATCACTCCCATTTTAGTTTAAAACCAAACTTTCCCCTTGTGCTACCACTGTCTCCCCATGTAAAAAGTTGCTCTCCCTCACTCCATATCTACACAGATAGACTTTCCCACCTGTACCAGCACTGGGAGCATGAGCCCTGCTTCCCCCAACTTTTGGTGGCTCTTTGTACCTGGCTGCTAGTTCAGGGGAACAGGGAATGTTGAAGGACTGAGGGAGGTCTAGTGCCCCAACATAATGCCACAGGGACACAGCTGCACAGTTGTGCTGCATCTGTGCCCAGACTGGGGCCAGTGTCTGTCTCTGTGGGAACCAGGAGATGCCAATTTGAGTTGCTTTTACCATCTCAAAGGATGGACTTAAAGACACAGGCTCTGTGAGCCATGCAGTTGTAGGTAAGTGTGCACCTGAATATGCATTTCTGTGCATCAGATCAGACTTTTATGGGTGTACAGGTCACAAAATATAGTATTCATATTCAAGGACCTGAATAACTGACCTCTCCCTAAACCCCTGCAAGGTTGAAGAGTACTTGTCTCCTGTTGAGGTCCTGCTCTGTCAGGTTAAGGCTCAGATTTTTTCCTGGGATTTTTTTGCTGCATGATGTGCACATCCCTCCCCCAGCCCTCTACACCCACCGTGCAGCAGATGTGTGCATGGACATGTTTTCAGGGTGTGTAAAGGGCTGATGCTTGTGAGGGATTCATTAGAAAGTAGAACCTGAAAGTGCAATCGTTAATGCTGAGTTATTCATAACAGATTAATCACACCTATGTTTAGGGCTTCTTTCTGGAGAGGAGCAAAGCCAGATGTCTTTGCATGACCAAACAACTTCCAGGAATTCCAAACTAAGGCTTTCATGCCCTAGATCCTGATAGTTTTCTATTATGTTCCTGAGTACTCCTTTACTTGGCTAGTGTGATGCAAACCCTTAAGCATTTGGATCTCAGAGCCTAAGGTAAGGGCAAATATGTAGCTTGTCCCAGTGCTGCTGCACAACTACAGTTAAACCTGTGGTCTCTCTGGGTGGGGGATCACCTTTCCATGATGCATTTATCCAGCTCTTAACACAACTGATCTGTCATCTATTATTAGCTCATCTGTATGATATCTTGTTTTAAACCATTCATGCTTAGGAGCAAGAATTGAGAATTGTCTGTATGAATCCAGTACCAGCACTCATACCTGGTGATGTTGGTGTAATTGAGTTGGTTGACCCTTAGAAGCTGTGACAATAAAACCTTGCAGAGAGCATGGATTATTGACAAGGAAGCATCATCTGCTACCACTAGAATTATTGGGCTGTATAGGTTTATGTGAAAAAGAGTAGTGAGAAAATAGTTTTTGATCTCAGTGTACCATCACTGAAGAGAAGAGACAGAAAGGGAAAGCACTTAGTTTGTTCAGCACATCCATGGCAGAGCCAAGTAATAAGTCCAGTTTCTTATCCACTGGATCACATACTCCCCATCATAAATCATGTTAAACTCTCAAAGGTTCCCTGTGTCCTTGTCAGAACCAATACACTGTTCATGGCTGAAGAAAGACAGAGTCTTATAAAAAACAGAAAAAGAGGTCCTTGTAAATCATGATGTCTATACTTAGAAATGTGTTAAAACTTCTAAGCACCAATTCAGAGCACAGAAGGTATTTTTTTTCCTTTTCTGAGTTGAAAAATCCATCCAAAGGTCAGTCAGAAACAGGAATAAAACTGTCTTTGAAATCTCAAACTGCTGTAATAGCATTTTTGGCAGTGAATGATAAACTTGAGCAGTTGAGGTTTACATGGCAGATGAAGTGAACATGTCTTTGTCTATACATTAAATGACCCAGCTCTGGCCCTTTTTCATTTCTTCTCCCAACCTATCCAACTATTTATAGATTTTTTACTACAAATGGACCTCCTGAACAGAAGAAGACAGACCAGTTAGGTCTGAAGAAAGTATCACAGTGGAGCTGTGCCCATAAAGTCATCATTCCTGGGCTGGAGTCCCACTTAGATAACCTCCCAGGTAGCAGGAATATTAACTCTTCATTTGCCTGGCACGGTTTTTTACAGTCTTTCACAGTTCTTGGAGAGTGTGAAGGGTTGTTTAGGGAGATGTTATGATCATGAAGTTATTGGGTTGAAAGAGAAGTGTGACATCCTGTCTGGGGCTCTCAGAGATGCCTAGGGAGTGAGGTCTACTCACCAATACACAGACTGGATGAACTTTAAAGCCATGCATTCAGAGCTCTCAATTTGAATGAGAAGCCTGGGCAGTCTGATGGGTGGATGGAGTTAACACTCAAGGATGGCAGAGATTTGGGGTCTCTTCTCTGTCACATCTTATAGATAGGAAGCTCTTGCTGGAGCCCTGCATTGCAGTCCATGCTCTGTTAACACTGGAGGAGTATATTCTGTGTCTGAATTTTTTAAAATATCTTAATGTCCATTGCAGTGGACACTGCTGTGGCATTTCTTGCATGACCCTGGCTATGTAGTTGCACAATAATGTGCTCTGTCTGTACAGGGAGTCCTAGTGGAAACTGGAAGATCTTTTACAGAGGTGAATATGAGGCACTCATACCTTGATATTTTAACTTGGTAACTGGTTGATGTGGGTTTGAACCCCTCTGTGTGCAGGAGGGACTTTGGGAGATTTGCAGTGAGAAGAAGGGTTCTGTCTTTACCTTAAGTGAATTTCCAACATACTGAATGAAAAGATGTGAATAAGCAGGTCTTCATCCTTTGGTTGTTCTTCCATAGGGCTGATTGTGCTGAGGTGGTTCCTGGGCTGAACTGCCACTGGTCTCAGCAAGGCTCAGTGGTGAGATGCATCTGTTGAGAACACCAGATCTGAAAACACAGGTACTTCATGACTTGAAAAGGTATCTTCAGCCTCCCAAAATACTGGGACACACCACCACGCCCCACCCTGCCCCAGATACACTAGGGACTTCAGACTCTAGTGTAACTGGTGGATGGGAGTTTTAGGACCACAGTTTTAGACATATGAGCATGAGGTGGGAGCTAGGGAGGCTGTAGGCTCCCAAACCCTCCAAGAGGATGGGGTCCCACGGGTCCTCTGCTGGGTGGCTGCAGCTTGTAGGATGTTTTCTTCTTCAAAGCTGTTCAGCAGCTCTCCAGGCCCTGCAGGGTGGATGTGGCTGCTCCTTGCCTTTAGGATGTCCTAGTGCATATTCAGCTGCTCATGACTCCAAGTGAGATGTTTCTTTCCCCAGATTTGCCCTTCTCCCAGGTCAGAAACCTCAGGCAATATCAGACTTCCAGCTGCTGGGGAGTTTTTTAGGTACTTAGATGAGCTGACACATTGGCTTTCGAAGCCCACACTGTTTAGAGGAGCAGAGAACAAATGGTGAAATGTAGATTTAGTTTGGCAAATATCTGAGGAGTTTTCTAGGGTGGAAGAAAATATTCCCTGTAGTTCCTAGTGCTGGAAGTGAAGGTGGCAGGAGCATGGCTCTGTGCTTTGAAGACATGAATGTACAAGGTATCCTGGGGAGAGAGAGCAGAGTGAGTTCTTTGCTTCAACAGCTGCTTCTGAACCACCTCCGCAGGCAAACAAATCTGCATCACTCCAGAAACAGCAGAGGACTCTCCAAAAACAAATGTGCAGAGGTGGAGTCCAACAAGGGTTCAGCACTCCATGCTGCCAAAATAATGCCTCTCATCCAGCATAGGAGGACACATCACTCAGAGTCCTTGTGAGCATGATGGGAGCTCCTTGCTGCAGTAGCATTTGTGGAAGACATCTCCTCTTGCCTAGCCTGCTGTGTCCTGCAGAGCCAGATTGGGCTGAGAGAGGCAATGGGATCAGAGCCAGCTGTGGTGGCACACAGGACTGTGTGCCCCTGTCCCCATGGCTGGTCCCCAAGGCTGCATGCCAGCAGCCAGCTCAGTCTGGCACTGTGAGCTCTGTAGGTAAGTGCATTTCATGGCATGGATCAGCATGGCTTGGCTTAGAGGAGGAAACAGAGAAGACAAACTTGGGCCTAGACTCAAGCTGTCTATATGGAAGTGTCTGGTCCTAGTGATGCTGAAGAGTCACTGAGCTCACAGTGGGACCTGTGCCTTGTCTCCCAGCCCTGGGAGGACTGTAGGTGTTAGTAAAGCATCTCAGCCATCACTACACATCACAGCACAGACAGCTAGATTCAGTCTGATGTGAAAACCCTTAAATGTTGGTGGTTTCCTGTCCTCTGGATGTCCAGATTGCTGCTCCATTCACTGGAGGGAATTCCTGACATCCAGTCAATACAGTTGGGTAGTCTAGACAGAGACTCAGGTACAAGCCAGGAGGATCCCCAGTCTGTTGCCCACATGTAGATGTCATTTTTATAGGAGTTAACTGGGCCTCTGCTTGATCTTTAATTGCATGGGCTCCCTCGTGCCATAAGTGGGTGCTGAAGGACAACTCCAATGGCTCAAGGTGACACAAAGTGCACAATCAAATTGAACCCCAACACCCTCTCCAAGCTGAGTAGGCAG